CCACTACAAATAGGAAAAAGAGGCTACAATTTGCAAGAGCTCACCAAAATTGGACTGTTGAAGACTGGAAAAATGTTGCCTGGTCTGATGAGTCTCGATTTCTGTTGAGACATTCAGATGGTAGAGTCAGAATTTGGCGTAAACAGAATGAGAACATGGATCCATCATGCCTTGTTACCACTGTGCAGGCTGGTGGTGGTGGTGTAATGGTGTGGGGGATGTTTTCTTGGCACACTTTAGGCCCCTTAGTGCCAATTGGACATCGTTTAAATGCCACGGCCTACCTGAGCATTGTTTCTGACCATGTCCATCCCTTTATGGCCACCATGTACCCATCCTCTGATGGCTACTTCCAGCAGGATAATGCACCATGTCACAAAGCTCGAATCATTTCAAATTGGTTTCTTGAACATGACAATGAGTTCACTGTACTAAAATGGCCCCCACAGTCACCAGATCTCAACCCAATAGAGCATCTTTGGGATGTGGTGGAACGGGAGCTTCGTGCCCTGGATGTGCATCCCACAAATCTCCATCAACTGCAAGATGCTATCCTATCAATATGGGCCAGCATTTCTAAAGAATGCTTTCAGCACCTTGTTGAATCAATGCCACATAGAATTAAGGCAGTTCTGAAGTCGAAAGGGGGTCAAACACAGTATTAGTATGGTGTTCCTAATAATCCTTTAGGTGAGTGTATATTGTTCATCTTCTCATTGAGCTATTTTGTTTAAAGATACCGTCTTACACTTACAAAAGAGTCAGACTTTCATTTCATGCTGTAGCTTTCATCAAGTACTTTACATTCTGACATTTAACACTGTCTTTATGCTTTGTGGTGATAAAATCATTTTGAGTTTAAGTGCAACTTATTTGACTTTGTAGACAGTCCTACAACAATATCCAGGTATTTATTGAATACTACTAAGTGGAACTACAAAGGCATTGTACCTTGATTTAGAAAATAAAGTGCAAATGTATTTTGAACTGTGATATTTTTTTATATACCAAAGTAGTATTTGGTTAATAATATTTAATAATATTAATAATATAATTGGACACCATATTAGGAGTATCAAAATTTGTGTACCGTAATCTCTGTGATTTGCTAGCATTTCTTGTAAAGAGATGCACATGCACTGCTGGGATTCTGTGTTTAAAGACATGGTCTTGTGGTTCCTAGTAAACACATTATGTATTAGTGGACATAAATTCATATATACACTACTGTTCAAAAGTTTGGGTTCGGTAAGAGTTTTTAATATTTTTGAAAGAAGTCTCTTATGTTCAACAAGGCTGCATTTCTTTGAAAAATACAGTAAAACAATTTAAATCTATTTTAAAATGTAATTTATTCCTGTGATGGCAAAGCTAAGTTTTCAGCATCAGTGTCACATAATTCAGAAATCATTCTAGTTTGCTGATATGGTGCACAATAAATATTTCGTATTTTTATCAATATTGAAAACTGTTTTTTCTGCTTAATATATATATATATATATATTTTTTTTTACATATAGTTACATTTCTGAGTTCAAATTCCTTTCTGTCAACAGCATTTATTTGAAATAGAAATCTTTTGTGAGATTACTAATGTCTTTACTGTCACTTTTGAGTCATTTAATGCACCCTTTTTGAATAGAAGTATTAATTTATTTTTGTTTAAAAATCTCATTGAAATTAGATTCTCATAAAGAATCACACATCACAGCTTCAAAATGTCAGATGTAAATCCAGGGCAAACTGTAGCGGTTTCTGAAGGGCTGATCCTCCAACAAGAGCTGGCAAACTCAAGATCATACACATTAATGCCTGACAAACAATGGGGGTGGAAGTTCATTATAAACACCCCGCCAATCTAACACCGAACATATGGACACAAGGGTGATGATGTTTACCCGATGGAAAGAAGGAACTGGCTTTTAGTCTTTTCATAGACTCTGACTTTTAATGCACTTCATGTAAAGTTTTCTTTTTCCCCCCTTAATAACAAACTGAACATCTGGAGTAAAGTTTGAAACGGCAAAATATCCAATCAGAGCGTATTTGCTCGGCCAGGGTCCAACACCAGCACACTGTGGGCATGTGTCCGCTCAGCCATTATCTAATGTAGCTGATTGCCAGTTCTGTCTTCTAGACCTTCGAGCGTCAGACTCTGTGAATAGAACGAGGTGTGTTTGTGTATGTTTTTCCTGGACTATACAGAGTCCACATGTCTCCACATGGGCACCAGACCTCTTCATATGAACTCTCGCTCTTTTCTTTTTCTCATTTCTCATGACCTGAAACGTGCGTTAAAGTCAAGAAAATGTTTATTGCAGCAAAAGGATGGGATTAAATACTATCATCAGTCACAGAAAAAAATATAACAAAACATTTCACGTAAAAGGTCCATTTAGCCTTTCTCTGTTTTGGGGGTTTATTTCCTTTGGCTCTGAAGGTCTGCATTTCACATAGTTTTTCTTTCTTCCAGAATAATTAGTCTTTTGCGGTGCTCAAGAGTAAAATATACGAAGTGCTGTGGACCGCTTGCCAAAGTCAACACCACGAGCAGTTTGTGGAGGAACACTAGAACATTTGTAGGCTGTAAACTCACAGGGAGACGGTGTCTGAACTTCAGAACGCCAAACGATTGGCCTCATCCTCACACCCAGCTCAAAAAAAGACTGACGTTTTAATCATAACGTTAGTCATAACTTAGCTGATATGCCTCTCCTTTTGTTTTCATAACCCTGATCTGGCTGCACTGCGGTGTATCGTACGCGCTCTTCTGTTTTTGATGGCAGGCCGCGTGGATTGCGGTTCACTTTTCAAACAGTTGTCCACCATACAGTGCCCAGATTCAAGAGCTTAATTGAGCATTTGTTTAATCAGTGCCTGTGCCTGAAACAAAGCATTTATTTTTAATCAGACGAGACATTTAATTTCGAGAGAGTGGCAGAAGTCAGAAAGCTTAGACAGTATTTTCTGGAAAATAAGTCGCACATGACTATACTGTCGCATCGGGTCGAAATGCATGCATTTAGAGGGGGGAAAAAAGTCACATTGTGTATATAAGTCACATTTAATTATTACATTTAGAAATAATATAATATACTGGTGGTAAATTAAACAAAATTGTTATAAACACTATAAACATGGTATTTTAAACTACCAGCGTGCGGGAAATGCGCTACGCAAATAAACTTGGGATCACTCACCTCTGTTATTCAGCACAAATCCAAATGTGTGCACTTTTCCCAATGGGTACATGTTTGACATTATGTGTGCTTTGTAATACAAGTCGCTCCACATTTCAGGTGATAAAAAAAGGGACTTAAATTCCGGAAAATGCAGTGCACAGGTTTGGCCGTTAGCTAGCATCTTGACATCTTAAGTTTTAGACTCTACTGTTAGAACCTGAGTATTGCATTTGTCATATTAAAGCTATCCTGTTTTAAAAAGCTCTTCTATTTGAACCCCTAGACGTCTGTGTTTTATTTATTTTTCATTTTCAAGGCACACTGAAATGTTTCCTGCGACTTCTGCTCCGTTGCTTGATTTGTGTATGTTGTCTTGTCATTTGCTCTCTGTGGGAAACGAAGCATAGCAGTGATCTCATGTTGTTTATTTGTTCCTTTGTGTACTCTTCCTGCAACTTTGAAGAAATGATATGCAAATCCATTCTGGTCTCTTGATCTCGGTTTATTAATTCTTGTTTCTTTGTTTGTTTGCTGTGGACTTTATCTTCTTGGTTCTTTGAAGCTGTTAAGGGGGAAAGCCATCAGACTGAAATTATACACAACCAAAAATGAAAGGAAACATTATGAGTAAACAAACTATAGAAGAGACAGATGGACATAATAGAGTAACTAAGACATTGAATCTCAAATATGAGCCATATCATTGTGTCTAGTCATAAACAGTCTAGATCCAATGCTTACTGCAGACCAGCAAGCACCAAGCGGATATTGTAAACACATGTGCTCTTCCCGTAAGGACCCTTGTCCCTACTGAATGCTGGTTCCTAGAAACAAACCCCACTTTGGTGTAAATCTCAGTCGATCTTGCCCTTTTTTTCCTTCTGTGAGTGACCTGTTGACAAAACTAGGGCTGGGTAATAAATTGAATTCACTGGTTTTGTTTGTGATAAGAAATTGAGCAACATTGTGATTTTAATATATGCTTATATGCTCATTAAGTTTCCTAAAGACTCATTAGATTAGTTTTGTGATCTAACGAGTATGACAGACGTTTTAATATTCTCTGATTTAAACTTCAGCAGCAGAAAAGTTGGTATCATTCACTTCTATGAATCGGTTCAAACTTAAATTCAAAATTATTCACTCAAATACCAATATATAATATTGTATAATAATAATAGTTTTAGTTTTAGTAAAATATATGCAGTAAAAAATGTTTTAGTAAAATATATGCAGGTAAATATTAAATATTTTATATATATTTATATTTTAAATAATAAATAAATCCCGTTAAAGTTACTGTAAAAACCACAAATTCAGAAACATTGACGTACACTATCGTTCAAAGTTTGGGGTCAGTAAGATTTTTTAAAATAAATGAATACTTCTATTTAGCAGATGCATGTGACAGTAAAGACATTTATAATGTCACAAAAAAAATTAGTTTTCACCCTTGATAATAATAAATGTTTCATGAGCACAAAATGAGCATATTCTAATGATTTCTGAAGGATCACGTGACACTGAAGACTGGAGTAATGTCTGTTTTAGGACATGGTTTAGGGGTAGTAAATTAGATTTAGGATTAAGAGCTAATTGCAAAAAAAATCTGTAGTGTCAAGTTGATTGGTCCACATCAGGAAAAGGCTTAATTCCATTATAAGAAACAAGATACTAACTAAGTTTACTGGCCACAAATATGCAGCTGCTGCTTTTCTTCTACACGTCCTCAGGCAGCAGAAGGAGAATAATTACACAGCAGCAGAAAAGCTGATATAAAACTGCTCACCGTTTTTTTTTTCTCTCTCTCTCTCTCAGATCAACCTCAGGCACGCTCTACACCCATACACCCCTCGCTAGCTAGCTCGACCGAATCGGCTGCGCTGCTGAGGAGAGACAGCAAGCCACACAGCAATGGGGTCAGAAACGGAACATTTTCACGAGCCGCCTCCTCGTCCTCCTCATCTTCATCCTCAGCCCATAAAAACCCCAAGAAGCTGCAGTCGAACCCATCCATCAACAGTCAGAGGAGCAAAGGTAGCTCCAAATCCAACAGCTCCCAGATCCCCACAGAGGCTCAGGATGGTGAGGCAGTCATAAGCCGTGATTGTTTGTACACATTTCTTTCACTTGCAGGAAGTTTGACTGACACAGATAATAAGCATCACTAGCCAGCGAGTTTTTTGTTGTGACTAACTTTCTTTGTTCTTTCTGCGTCCAGATTGCTGTGTCCACTGCATCCTGGCCTGTCTGTTCTGTGAGTTCCTCACACTGTGCAACATCATGCTGGACTGCGCCACTTGCGGCTCCTGCGCATCAGACGACTCGTGCTTCTGCTGCTGCTGCGCTTCAGAGGAATGTGGCGACTGCGACCTGCCCTGTGACATGGACTGCGGCATCATCGACGCGTGCTGCGAGTCTGCAGACTGCCTGGAGATCTGCATGGAATGCTGCGGCCTGTGCTTTTCCTCCTGAGACTCCCATAGGGGGCGCTGCCTCTTTCACTGTTTTGAGATCTGAGAAACAGGCAAAGAAAGACATCAATGATCTAGAGTGGCTGCAGACCTACTTGGAGTTGTGAGTTACAGTCTAGTAGCTTTCTTTTGAACTGTCTTGCTATGAACTGTTTCTGGACTGATTTCTGTTTAAAATGTTTTGTTGAGTCTATATTGGCATGATGCTGAATACAAATACATCCAGAAGACTTATGAGGCCACTGAGAAAGGTCAAAAAAACGTTTGTAAATGTCAATGTTTGTTACTTATTTGAAATCGTCTTAGTGCCAAGCTTTAAAAAATGCACAAACCAGTGGTTTAAGAATTCCACAATAATGCACACCATAAAAGAGCTTGAATTGCAACTCAGATCTGTTTTAGAAAACATTCCAACGTCGAGTACTCAAGGAAGACGTATCCAAAGATATTTTTTTAATGGTAATCCTCAATATCACCTCTCAGTATGCACACTTACTGTAGTACACTGGTGTAGTCCTCTAAGGATTACAAAAGCCATAAAATGTGAGTGTGAAACTCATAGATGTATGCGAGCGGGAGAAAGATGTGTGTATTTAATATATGCTGCCATTCTACAGTTGTGTCATAGATTGTATATAAACGTGAAGAGAATCCTGTCCGTCTCTACATTTGGTCCTGTGATGTTTTTATCCTCACTCTTTCTAGCATTTTCACTTCATCAATCAATCTTCTTGCATACTGGAATATTATACTGTAAACCATTGTGAATTGCTCTGTATTTTTTTTTCCCAATGTGAAATGTCTGTCTTGTAATTCCAAAACTTTCAATTTAAATCAGTTGTGTGAATTTAAATGTTAGTTTTACGTTTCTACCTATTTTTTTTTTCAGATGTAGTAAATGCCTAGCATTATAGCAGTATTATTTTATCCTTTCAAAAAAAAGAAATCTAAATCTAAAGCAGAAGGTGATCTAGAGGTAGTCTTGAGAATCAACACAGCATAATTCATACCATAAACAGTTACAGTACATATTCGTCTTACAGAAAAGCAATGTAATGCATTGATTTGAATCGTTTACATTTTAAGAAATGTTTCTATTGTTGCTTGCAAGGTAGAAAGGACTTTTAACTGGACAAGAGTGTACAATAATGGAATAAAAGAAATCTATCCCTGTCATATTTGATGTTGTATCTTTTGTATGGTTGTTTTGTTATTTGATAGAGAGGCGTCCAATTCTCTTGCATCAGAGTTCAACCACCAAAATGTTTTTAGAAAAGGGGTTTCAAAAACGTTTCAGTTTTTAAATACATCTTTGTCGTGTAAACGTACCCCAAGGCAATCGTTTGCAATCAGGTGGCCCTAATAAGTTACAATTTGTTAAATCTTATTATTAATTAAAATGCTACAAAAACTAAAAAAAATAAAGATTAAATATGAAATAAGTATAATATTAAATTGACATAATATTGTTGAGTTAATTTGAATTACAGCACAAGTACCAGAGGTACATTTAAAATGAGATATGAGGGCCTTTGAATATTGCCTTTGGTGAAAAGGTCCTTTCATGCAGGGAACTACATCAGTTCTCTAAACGGTGTCTGCTTTATTTGCTCATAACCCAATCTCATTATCCATATTTTCTTATTTGGCAATTTGCTATGTGAAGTTGTGTGATAAAGACTGCTGCATGGACAGGCATCGCTTCCAACCTCTTTTCTGTTGCCCAAGAAAGCTCTGTGAGGTTTGGGCAACAGAAAACAGTGCGGTTTAATAGGCTGCCAAAGTCGTTGAAGAGGAATGTCTGTTCAAGGCAACAGTGCAATATGTGATAAGACCTTCTCTGTTACATCTCTTGCTCATTTTGCCTTTCTCTCTATCTCTCCTTGTTTTTCTCTCGGTCTTTCAAGTGTATGTTCTATAAATATGGTTGTGGGTGGTAGATTCTATCCCTGGCTGAGTTTTAACCACACACATCTATAGATAGGGAGTTCACAGTTTTAACCTGGTGGTCAGAGCTCTGGTCTCTTTGCATGAAACAGAGCAGCCATTCAGTCGAGGGGAAAGGTTAAACATATTCTTAAACATCTGCATCTGTTTTGAGGAATCCACATCCAGTGTCTTCATACACAATGCATTTGTACAGTTTCTCGTTTTCTCACGAGCGTTCTCATTCTCGGACACAAATCCTGTCCAGATATTCTCACAATTCAGCAACAGAGGACAAGAGGCTATTGAATATTAACTATGAAATTACAAAGAGCGCATTATAATGGAGGTGAAGGGGTCACCAGCTGTGATGAAAATTCTAGATGAATAATCCTGGCGTGAAAACGCCACTGAACTCAAGCTCCGAGAAAATTCAGAATCTCTTTTCTTTCAGAAGTCACAAAGATGCCAAACAGAAGACATAGTGTCTGTTTTATTAATACAGGGGTCAACAGAGGGCAACAGCGACCATATTTCCATTGTTTTCCCAAGTAGTCCAGTTCACGCTGCGAGTTTGACCGAACAAAATCTCCAATTGTAATTGAGATTTGCTTTTTTCTTTGCTTTTTTTATCTGCAGGTTTAGTGTGCTTGTTTGTAGAACAACCCAAAATTTTATGATTGTATATTAATGATTATATCATAATAATTATTACTACTACTATTGAAATATATATATATAACTATTGTACAATAAACTGTACAATAAAACATTTTTTATTTAAGAATAATTATTTATGCCCGTCTTAATTCATTTCCAAATGTCAAACAATCAAGCTTTTGTTTTGTTGGAAAAACTTCAGGAAGCCCTTAAAGCTTCTCTTTTGTTGACAACAGCCAGTTTAAGCGCTTCTCATTACAAGTTTGGGAAGACAGTTGTCTTCTCTGAGACACGGAAAACACTGGATCATGAGCTGTTTGTTTGTAAGGCTGAGTAAATATGATTTTGTACTCGCATCTGACACAGATCGGAATTTGTTGCACACGTGTAAACGCAAAAATCCACACGAGATCTAATTTTGTCCGCATCTGTTCTGAGCCACTTCCAAATGTGTTTTTAAAGCAGATACATATCTGGGCACACATAGAAACATTCAGGAGCATAGAAACTGTTTCAACATCTGCCCTGTGCATTTTTAAAATAAAACGGGTGCTACTGAAAGCTATATAGGCTATTCCTCAGCAACGAGATAACTAGCTGTTTTTGTAAATAAACCTGGTGCCAAAACCCAAGGAGTCAACTATGTCGCATAGTAAAGCGATCACCAACAGAATCATTTTGGGCGGGGATTAATATAAACACCGATATAGGATACCAGTCCTGTCTAAAGTGAATGTAAACAGGAGGGACAAAAAATCGTATATGGTCAAAAGATCGGATCTGTGGATTAAGACCTGCAGTGTAAACGCAGCCTAAATGAACACAGTGCCATGCTTTACTCTGAAACATGCAGCGCATATATTTATTTAATTAAATCATAGACTGCAATTTGATAATTGCACTAGGTCATTTATTCCGTTTTCTTTCGGTTAATCATGCAGCCCTAGTTCAGAGTGTTAGTGAAGTGTTTAGAGCATACTATAGAGCACTTAACAGTAATGCCTGTGAAACAATGGTCTCCTTATTTTTCACTCTGCTCATCCAAACCAAACCGGATCAAATAGAGGAATGTCGGTTATACTTAATGCATCCGCCCTCACTAATCAAACCAACTGCAAATGTATATCTAAGAGAGTAAAATAAATGTTTTGCGGAGAGAGTGGGTATATTCAGAGCGTAATATAATCTATTGGTCAGGTTCTTTTGGTTTTTCTTAATGAGGATGACTCTCAATGGAGCACATCTCTCTGTTTGGGTTTCACTAATACCCAAGGTTGAGCACGGTTGGTGGTTTTATGATCATTTTGTGGGATCCGTGCACATGTACTGTACATGCACAACCACAGTAACACACACACACACACACACACACACACACACACACACACACACACACAAACACACAAGAGGCCTGGTGAGTCACCAGATATGTGGGACCAGAGCCAGTTGCTCTCTCTACAGTGAAGCATCTTGTCCTCCCACTTACACACTCGACTCACAGGCCTGTCTTCAAGCCATCATTGTCTCAAACACACACAGTAGCGAGATTCTGCACGCAACCACAAACAAACACCAATACACAATCACAACAGCATGTGAATTTACAATAAATCATATTTTAGAAACAATAATTGTTTATATTAAAAGGGTCATGTTTTTTTATTTATTCAACCACAATTTTATTTTTAAATAATTAATTTCATTTATCATTTTTACCATTTAATCTAATATTTAGTCTTTTAAAAATATTTTGCCTTCTCTCTGACCCTTTAAAGTAATGTGCTGTTAAAAATGTCTTTAATCAATATCAGTTTATTAACATAACCTTTTCTAACCCTGTAATATTCTGTCCCAAACCTTTACTTTAAGAAATAACAAATTCTATACTAAATGTACAATATACTGTTCAAACGTTTAAGGTCAGTAATATTTTTTTGAGTAAGCGCGCATTAAATTAATCAAAAGTGACAGTAAATACATTTATAATCCAAAATATTTCTATTCCAAATAATTGCTGCAATTTTGAAGTTCCTATTCATCAAAGAATCCTGAAAAAAATTTATATGGTTTCCACAAAAATATTAAGAAGCACAAGTGATAATAATAAATGTTTCTTGAGCACCAAATAAGCCTTTCAGCATGATTTCAGAAGGATCATGTGACACTAAAGACTTTCACAATATTTCTCCTTTTTTAAATCAAATAAATGCAGTTTTGGCGAGCATAAGAGGCAAGAGACAACATTTGGAACAGTAGTGTTGTGGTGACCCACAAGAGAGACATTCACCAAGGGACTGTACCTTTAAGGGAGAGGTTAAGATTCAGAAGTTCCGGGTTAACGTTGTGTGGTTGTTTTGATCTCACTCGCTGTACAGTGATATAGAATTATTGAAGTGGAGAGTAAAGCTGACTCGACGCATCTCCGCCTCTTGTCTCCTCATTTATTGCACTCCACATTGGTGACCCCATTGTGAGTTGGATACGGCTGAATTATGTCACACAACGACGGTGACGAAAATGCTGCTGCGGCGCTGGATGCCGC